AGTAACTCCCTGCCCTGCAGCAGTCAAAGAGCCACCTTCAGTAACTCCCTGCCTGCAGCAAAGAGCCACCTTCAGTAACTCCCTGCCCTGCAGCAAAGAGCCACCTTCAGTAACTCCCTGCCCTGCAGCAGTCAAAGAACCACCTTCAGTAACTCCCTGCCTGCAGCATCAGCTCTTGCTGTCACAGACATAGGACAGGTGGAAGGCTTTAACAAACTAGTTTATTTTCTCACAGTTTGGGAGGCTCGAGATCCAATTTCAGGGCCCCAGCTCTCTCTGTGCCAGCTCTGGAGGGAAGGCTGGCCTCTTCTGTGCTCCGGGGCCATCTTTTCATTTTTGTAGTAGAGTTTTATCACACAACTCAATCATATGAAGAAGAGCAGAGCAATCATCACAATCCATTTCAGAACATTTTATTCTTTCTCATTCCCATTCTTGTTAGCTTGCCATTTCCCCCCAACCTCCCCTGCCATTGCCCCCAGGTAATTATTAAACCACTTACTGCCTCTATAGATTTACTTATTCTGGATTCCATATACAGAAAATCATACAGAACCCAAACAGGAAGCCAGCAAACACACAAAGTTCAACAACAGTGACAAAAGAAAACAGAAAAATCTCTGTTGAAAAGGAAGCAGAAAATATTAAAAACGGAAACAACTTTAAAATGGGTCCAGAGGGAGATCAAGTGATAAAATCGATAACTGATGTGCCAGACGTGGGTATCCAAGCCTGTAAATCTTTAAAGGAGTGGAAATTCTCATCTTTATCAGCTAGTGGTTTCAAACTGCTGACCTTGTGGTTAGCAGTTCAGTGCATAACCTCCTATGCCACCAGGGCTCCCTTGATTAGCAGGGAAGGGAGGGTAAAGAATTCACTAGAGGTGGACATATATTAACTGAGGTGAAGGGAAAGACAGTATACTATAAGAGCAAGGTCAGCAAAAACGGTGAAGGCCAAGGAAGATGCTGTGAGCAGTGCAGGAGTGAGGAGTAGAGCATAGTTCGAGCCCCGGAGGATGTCCAAACGGCCATTTTGATAGGGTACCAATGGAAGTTTGCAGAATTCTTTGGGGAAGGGTTAGAGAGATGGAAACATCGCCTTTAGAAGTGTCTGAGTGTAGGTGGAGGATGCTTCAAACGGTAGCTACATATTTTGATAGTTTTGGTAAAGGCATGCATTTTTACAGCAACATTTTCAGACCCATTTTCATATTCCACATCTCTTCCATCTATGTCACTCGTGATCCACTTACCACATTGCTTCTTTGTGCCTCCAGTGACATCTGGTCCTTGGGATGCATCCTGTATGAACTCTGTACCCTTAAACATCCAGTAAGTATACAAGACAGAAAGAGCAGGCCGCTGCTCCTCCTGGGCCAAGTTCTAAGTCGTGTGCTTGGTGCTGTGCTTCTCTGGAGCTCATTCATCAGCGAAGTTTTTATCTGTTTTCATTTGCTGTCGTCTCTGCCTTGAACTATGAGTAGTTTGTAATCCACACCCCATTGCTGTTCAGTCAATTCCAACTCACAGTGACGATGTAGGCCAGAGTAGAACTGACCCCTAATCTTTCAGAGGAAGCCGACCACATCATTCTCCAATTGGAGTGGCCACTTGGGTTCAATCTGCATGGAACTTGTTGCCAGCGAGTAGTTGCTGCTTGTAAAGACTTACAGGACAGTGGATGCCTAGGGTTTCTAAGCCTGTCAGTCTGTGCAGGGCAGACGCCCTCATCTCTCTCGCGTGGGTCGGCTGGTGGGCTTGAACCTTATGATAAGCAGCCCACCATTTCACTGCTAACGGGAAGTGCCGTTATTTAATTTCTGGAGTTGGGTACGTATCTTTTTGTAGTTAGATTTCCATCATGGGAGTTTCCTCTCTAACAGAAATATCATGAGAAATAGATGTTGCCTGATTTTATTCTTTTATGTAGTTCTTTGTTTTCAAATGGACGTATCCCTTTCAAAGTTATTTTAAAATGAAAGATTGAACAACTTGTCCTGCTCAGCAGCTGTCTGTTACACAGTCCCAGGATTCATAGTGTGGGTCTCTCTGAGGGCCTCGGTTTGCATGGACTTAGAGTCTGCTCTTTGGCCATGGACTGAAACTCAGCGCTCCAAGCTTTCTCGTAGGCGCCTTTGAGAGCACGTGCGGGACCTGAAGCCGTGGCTGAGAACAGTCCTAAAGCTCCTCCAGAGGACAAGAGCTCGCTGGAGCCAGGCCCTGAGAATAAGGGGTTCTTCCTGAGACATTGGTGGCCCACACTGCTGGCTACACAGCTAGAGAAACGGGGAACTTTAAAACAGGCTGCTACCCAGGTTTCACACCAGAGTAATTACATGAAAATCCAGAGGGTGACTGGGATGTCCTGTTTTAAATCAGGTAACTTCGAGTGCGCAGCCCAAGTTGAGAACCAGTTTGTTGCGTTCAAATAAACTCAAAATGCTCCCTTTCTCATTGATGATTATATTCTTTATCTCCTTGATTTTACCTTTTCCTTGAGATTCTGATCCATGGTTGTAATTTTTTCTAGGGAGACTAGGTCCTAAGCACGATTTTTAAAATTACTGCCCCCCCCCCCCCCCCCCCACACACACACACACACACTGCTCTGACTCAGAGCAGCTCTAGAGCAGAGTAGAACTGCCCCTTGGGGTTTCCGAGGCTGTAAATCTTTACAATCGTAGAAAGCCGCATCTTTCTCTTGTGGGGCGGCTGATGGATTTGAGCTGCCGACCTTGCAGTTAGCAGCCCAGAGCTCTTAAGCCCTGTTGTAGCCTAGTATTTGGCACACAGCCTGTTTCTTTTCCACTTTAAGGGAGAATTAATGTGGAGACCTTTAGGAGCCTGAAATTCCAGCTTCAAGGTGAAAAGCCTGAGACCCGGTAGATTCAGTTTTTTGTTTTCAATATCTGGGCTTTATTATGTGTTGGTTATTGCCTTCCTGTATCTGCACCTGCATTATTTTTAATGGTGTCATTAATAAACTCTCAAGGCAGAATGCCAACTTACTCTTAAGGTGTTACCAAGGCTGGCATCTAGTGTTAGCTCTAATGTATGTTATATAAGAAAACAACATTTCAGTGGTATTCTGGTATGTCATTTTATATCCCATTCTCTTGTCAGATGTTAATAGCTACCTTAATGACACGCATGATAAAAGCTTGTGGATGATGTTTCTAGCTGTGAAAGTTGAAGGTGCATGTTACTGGGGTGCCTGGGAAGGAGTGGGGCAAAAGAATACGCCACGTTTGATAAGCCTATTGGTGTCATTCGGCTCCCTTTACAACCGGGCCTGTGTGTTACTTTGATTTTAAATGTATATTACAAATGTGAATTTGTAAGACTGCTGAGTACAACAAATGAAGTGCCCAGAGCAATGGTAAGGCTGTTTCTAGATTGTTACTCTCTTTCCTGAACCATCATAAGATGTCTTGAATACTCTCTTCAGGCCAGAGGAGTCCTGGTGGGGGAGTGGTGACCAGTTGGGCTTGAACTGCAAGGTCAGTGGTTGGAAGCCACCAGCCACTCCGTGGGAGAAAGAGGAGGTGTTCGACTCCGGTGAAGAGTTACAGTCTCGGAACCCTCCAGGGGCAGCTCAACCCTGGCCTTTACTGTGACTAGGAGTTGGAATCGACTCAACTGAGTGAGGGGTTTTAGTTGTTTGCTTGTTTATTTTAAGGATAACTTTAGGGAGAAAAGTGGTAAGTTTATAAAATTACTATAATTTTTTTTCTTTTATTGGGGGCACTTACATCTCTTATCACACTCCATACATTCATCCAGTGTGTCAAGCACATTTGCACATATACCACCATCATCATTTTCTTTCTTTTTTTGATGTTGCAAGTAAATTTTATTCTTATTTTCCTGGATACATATACTTCACATCTTCTCTGTTTAAATAGTTGCATTTGGTCAGTGATGATAGTTAAAATAAGGCCACACATGCAGAGCCTTAAAAAAAAACAACCCAAAACACATAATGTGCAAATAAAGATTAAAGAGAATGTCTATTGGGATTTCTGTAAGCGGTATTGTTTTACAACATTCTTCATTCACCAAAATCCACTTATTGCTTTTAGCCCTTAATTACTCTTTTTATTAAATTTCCTCCAACTCTTGGTCTTTTTCAGTTCCTCTCAGTTTTGTATCCATATTATAGCTCTTTTTGTTTAGCCTGCTTTAGCCTAGACTTAGCTTTGTCACAGTGCATTTCTTCTTCATGAAATAGCGTTTGGAGAGAAGGCCAGGCTGCTAATGTGTTCAGGAAGAATGAATATGTTTATGCCGAGCTCATCTATAGTGGCACATGATTCGTGTGCAGTCTCTCAACATAACCCCTCTTCCAGCTTTCTTCTTTTTTTAATCGTTTTATTGGGGGCTCATACGACTCATCA